TGCTCATGCTCCTCTCGACTGCTAGAGTAAATCAAGATATCATCACCGAATACAACCACAAAAGAATCCAAATAGGGTTTGAATACCCGATTCATCAAATCCATAAATGTTGCTGCGGAATTTGTTAGCCCAAATGACATCACTAGGAATTCGTAATGCCCATACCAAGTCCGAAAAGCCGTCTTAGGGACATCGGATGCCCTAATCTTAAACTGATGGTAACCAGACCTCAAATCGATCTTTAAAAACACCTTGGCACACTGAAGCTAATAGAATAAGTCATTAATTCTTGGCAACAGATACTTGTTCTTGATAGTAGCCTTATTCAACTGCCGATAATCTATACACATTCGCATTGAACCATCTTTCTTCTTTACAAATAACATTGGTGCACCCCATGGTGATTCGATAGGTCTAATGAATCCCTAGTCAAGTAAATTTTGTAACTACTCCTTTAATTCCTTTAGCTGCGGCGGAGCCATACGGTATGGTAGAATAAAAATGTGTTGCGTGCCCGGAGCCAAATTGATACATAAGTCAATATCTCTATCGGGTGGCATCCCTAGAAAATCTACAGAAAATACATTTGGAAACTCACGGACAACTGGAACTGAATCCATAGAAGGAAATTCCGCGATAGGATCGTGAATATAGGCCAAATAAGCTAGACTCCCCTTCTCGACCATACAACGAGCTTTCACGTAAGAGATAACCATGCTGGTGGAATAGCCATGAGTCCCTTTCCACTCAATTCGAGGTAACTCCAACATGGTTAAGGTCACCGTTTTGGCATGACAATTCAATATAGCATGATAGGGTGACATCCAATCCATACCCAATATGACATCAAAATCCACCATATCAAGGAGTATAAGATCCACGCTAGTCACAAGACTCCCAATAGTAACTACACACGAACGATAGACATGATTTACCACAACATAATCTCCCACCGGTGTGGACACACACACATAAACACTCAAAGAATCACGAGGCACAACCAAATATGAAGCAAAGTAGGAGGACACATAGGAATAAGTAGATCATGGATCAAATAAAACTGAAGCATCTTTATGGCAAACTGGAAAAATACATGTGATCATGATATTGGATGAATCGACCTCAGGACTAGCAGGGAAAACATAAAATTGGGGTTGGGCCCCACCACTCGGAGCTACATCTCTAGGACGCCCTCTAACTGGCTGGCCTCCACCTCTAACAACATGATCTCCACCTCTAGTTATCTGACCCCTGCCCTTAGTTAGCCGAGCGGGTGGTGGAGAAACCGATGCCAGTATGATGGCACGAGAATCCTGTTGAGATCTGTTGCTCGACAACCTAGGGCAATACCTCCTGATGTGACTAAAGCTAAAGCTGACCCGAACGGGCCGGATAACCGTTGTAATGACTCTAGAGCGGTGGTACACTAATAGGAGCTGGATGTGCACTAAATGTTAGCTGCCCAGAGTAAGGCATAATAGGATCATGACTCATTGAAGTACCATTAGATGCCTGAAGTACTGAATAAAATGGCTTGGGAGGATGACCCCTATCATAAGTACCCCTGCCTCCATATGAGGTGCCTCTGAAATTACCGGAATGACGATGCCTCTTATCAGACCCATGCCCTCTCTCATGTGCAAGAACCGTCTCGATCCTTCTAGCAACATTAGCAGCCACCTGAAAGGAAATCTCACTTCCTGTCTCTTTGGCCATCTGAATCCTGATAGGGTGAGTGAGTCCATCAATAAACCTCCTCAATCTCTCCCCTTCAGTAGGAAGTAAAAGGATAGCATGACATGCTAGATCCACAAAACGGGTCTCGTACTGAGTGATAGTCAAACTGCCCTGCTGGAGACACTCAAATTGCCTGTGGTAATCCTCTCCCAATGTGATAGGGAGGAACTTCTCTAAAAATTGCCGCGAGAACTGCTCCCAAGTCAGTGCAGGCGACCTAGTTGGTCTGGTCAACATATAATCTCTCCACCATCTCATGGCGAAAACCGTCATCTAAAATACTGCAAAATCGACCCTATTGGTCTCAACTATACCCATGTTCCGCAACACCTCATGATAGCGGTCAAGATAATTATGTGGGTCCTCAGAAGGTGTACCACCGAACTGAACTGGGAAAAGCTTAGTAAACTTGTCCAACCTCAATAAAGCCTCAGAAGACATGACAGGCCTATCACCGACATGTGCCGCAACAACTGGCTGAACTACCCGAGCTGGTGGGGGTGCTGGAGCATGATACTGGGAGTCATCTACTACGGAGAGGGAGTAGTAGGAGTTTGTGCTCCTCCCCCAGCCTGTGAGACGGCTGGTACAACTGGAAATGTACCATTATGAGCCACGCCCTCCATAAGACTCACCAAAAGGGACTAGAGCATCCTGAAGTACTAGAGTATCTATGAATTTATTCGAAACTTGAACTGGTCCAACCGGTACAGTCTAAACTGGAATCTCCTCCTGAGGTTCTATAACAAGTGCTGTTGCTCGAGCTCTAAACTGAGCTCTACCTCTGCCTCTACCTCGGCCTTTAGCACGACCTCGGCCTCGACCTCTACCCCTGGTTATAGTTTCCACGGGGGGCTCTGGCCCTTGTCCGTTGGTAGATGTATTATGCATTCTCGCCATCTACGAGAGAATAAGAATAGAATGGTTCAATCATCGATGTCAGAATAAAATCGCATGACATAATAAGAAATAAGTGATATTTTTCCTAAACTTCACAACCTCAAAGAGATAAGTACAGACGTCTCCGTACCGATCCTTCAAACTCTACTAAGCTTGCTCGTGACTCGTGATACCTATGTAACCTAGTGCTCTGATACCAACTTGTCACGACCCTAAATTCCTACCTTCGAGACTGTGATAGCGCATAACATTTCACTTGCTATGCAAGCCAACGTTAGAATAATATTAGCCATTTCTAAACAATTTTAAATTAATTAATAATAAAAAAACAAATACAAAAATAAAGTGAATAATCCATAATAATAATAGTGATGTTTAAATACCATCCCAGAACTAGTGTCACAAGTGCACGAGCTACTAGAATAATACAAATAACGTCTGAATGAAAATAAAGTTATCCGAAAGAAATACACAACTATGATAAAGTGCAAGGGGATTTCAGAACTGCGAACGCCATGCAGCTATACCTCAAGTCTCCTGCGAATAACTGAATCCGAGCAAGTCTATTGTGCGCCTAAAGAGTGCAGAGTGTAGTATGAGTACAACCGACCCCATGTGCTCTATAAGTGCCGAGTCTAACCTCGACGAAGTAGTGACGAGGCTAAGGCAGATCGCTTACATTAACTTATACGCATTAATAATAATAATAACATGAATATAAGTAAGATCGGTAAATCATATCAAAAATTGAAGCCAATTCAGTCAGGGGCGAAGACCACCCTTTGTCGAAAAATGTCGGAAAATTAACACTGTGTATATAGAAAATAATTTAGATTTATATGCATGTAATACATATTGAACACCCTTGCAACAATGAAGAATCATAGCTCAGTGGCAAAGGGTGGTCAAGACTCAAGAGGGCTCATGGGCGCGGGTTCGAGCTTCACTCTCCACAATTTTTGTTGCATTCCAAATTTTTATTTTTTAAAAAGACAAACAGAATAAATGACGTCGTTAATTCTGTTTGACTAACTTTATAAAATAAAAATCTGGAACAAATAATATTTATAAAACAAAAAATTGGAATAAATAAATCAAAATCCCTACTGCTGCAAAACCTAGGTAATTTTGGTACTGCAAGTGATTTTGGTCTCTATCTTCTCCAATCTATCTAACTCTCTGCTACTGCAAGTGAGAACTGAGAAGTGAGAAGTGACAAGTGAAGTTCTGGGTTTGGAAGTTCTTGCTGCCAGGGGCGAAGCTACAATGTAACAAGAAAATTCCAATCTCCATTAATCTAGTCTCCACTCTCCATTGAACATTTGAACTGGTTAGAACTTAGAAACTTTTGTCTTTCCCTTTCCTTTTTTGCTTCAAAGTTTGAGTTTTGGTATTAATTATTAAATATTAAAGTTCTCTGATTTTTGGTTTAGTACTGTGGCTAAAAAGGGTCTACTTAAGATATTTGAGCACAAATAGGAAGACATGTAAATCCTTGAGTAATAGTTAAAGTTTACTGATTTTGTGTGTCTCGGACTTAGGAATAATATGTTTTAACTACTTTATACATTCAGGGAATTGAAGTTGCAATGAACTTGTTGAAATTTTACAGCAAAGTACCAAAAATAAGTTTTGCATCTCAAAATCCATCTAACAGAGAAGAAAATGCCAATCAATCAGATTTTCCCTCGCATTCTTCTATAAGACAAGAAATTGATACAATTGCTCCACAATCCGATCCAGCTGAAAGAACTCCAATATTGGAGTATCATCCAAACCATCGCGATGAAATAAGGAGGGCATACATTCAAGGTGGTCCTTGCCAACCTCGATATCATGACTTCCCTCAATCTGACTTTTCTGGATTTAAGTGTCGTTTTAATCCTATATGGTTTGATGATTTTAATTGGTTGCAGTATAGTGTAAGTACCGATGCTGCATATTGTTTACCTTATTATTTATTTAAGGGCGAAAGTATTCATCACGGTGGTGGTGATGTTTTTTCGAGTAAAGGATTTAGGAATTGGAACAGAAAAGAATGTTTTAAGAAACATGTTGGTTTGCCAAATAGCATTCATAATAAAGCAAATAGAAATTGTGATGATCTAATGCGGCAACAACAGTCTATTATTGTTGCATTTGACAAACAGTCTGATCAAATTAAGCGTGAGTATTGGCTTCGCTTAAATGCTTAAGTTGATGTGGTAAGGATTCTCTTGAATCAAGGATTTGCATTTCGCGGTCATGACAAAAGTGAAACGTCATTAAACAAGGGTAATTTTATTGAAATTCTTTCATGGTATGCGGATAAATATGATAAGATTAAACCCTTTGTGTTGAAACGTGCTCCAAAAAATAATAAGATGACTTCTTCAGATATTCAAAAAGAAATTGTGACCGCATGTAAGATAGAAACTATTAAGGCTATAATAGAGGATCTAAATGGTGACTACTTTGCTTTATTAGTTGATGAGTCTATAGACGTGTCACGCAAAGAGCAAATGGCTATTGTTTTACGGTATGTCGATAAAAAAGGAAGTGTGATGGAGAGGTTTATTGGCATTGTTCATGTTCGGGAGACAAGTGCTTTATCTCTAAAGAAAGTAATTGTCGATGTACTTGTTCATCATTCTTTAAGTTTATCTTCTATACATGGACAATGTTATGATGGGGCAAGCAATATGCAAGGCGATATTAAAGGTTTTAAGAAGTTGATTAAACAAGAAAGTAGATCGGCTCATTCTATTCATTGTTTTGCACATCAACTTTAACTAACTCTTGTTGCGGTTTCTAAGAAGTGTGTTCATGTAGGTGAACTTGTATTATTGGTTTCAAATATTTTGAATGTGTTGGGAGCTTTTTTTAAACGTGTGGATGAATTTCGAGATTCTCAAAACGAAAAACTCCGAGAGGCATTAGATATGGGTGAACTAAAAACAGGTAGAGGCTTGAATCAAGAACTTGGTCTTGTTAGAGCCGGTGATACTCGTTGGGAATCTCACTACAAGTCATTTAGAAATTTTATTCGTATGTTTGGCTCTATTGTTGATGTTCTTGATACTCTTGTTGAAGATGCAGGTACATTAGATGATAGAGCTAAGGCATCAGGGTATCTTGAAGCTTGTCAAACATATAAGGTTGCTTTCTTGTTGTATTTAATGACAGATATTTTGGGAATCACTAATGAGCTGAATGTATCCTTACAAAAAAAAAGAGCAAGATATTGCAAATGCCATGCTACTTGTTCAAGTAGCAAAGAAAAGATTGCAAACTTTAAGGAGGGATGATGAATGGGATTTGTTTGTTGATAAAGTATCTATATTTTGTATCAAGCATGATATTTTGGTGCCTAATTTTGATGATCTATATGTTAACTCTGGAAGATCACGGTGAAAACCTGCTGATTATACTGTCTTTCATCATTATCGTGTTGATGTATTTTGTAAAGTTCTTGATTGGCAACTTCAAGAACTTAATGATCGTTTTGACGAAGTGACGACTGATTTGCTTCATGGAGTTGCTTGTTTGAATCCAATCGACTCATTTTCAAGTTTTGATATCAGAAAAATAATGAAGATGGCTGAATTGTATCCTGATGACTTTGATGAATTTCAGATGAGTGCTCTTGAGAATCAACTTGCGAGTTACATTATTGATGTTCGTGATTTTGATGAAAGGTTCTCCAATCTAAATGGGCTTTCTGATCTTTCAAAAAGATTAGTTAAGACAAAGAAGCATTCAGTTTATCCTCTTGTATTCCTCTTAGTGAAACTTGCGTTGCTTCTGCCTGTTGCAACTGCAACCATTGAAAGAGCTTTCTCAGCAATGAAGTTTATCAAGAATGACTTGCGGAATCGAATGGATGATGACTTTTTAAGCGGTTGCATAGTGCCTTATGTAGAAAGAGAAGTATTTAGTATTGTTTCTAATGAGTCTATTATAAAAACATTTCAAGAGATGAAGTCTCGTCGAGTACAATTGTAATAAGTAGAATCTCTTTTCGATGCTTCTCTATATTAGTTTGGATTAATCCAATTGTTCGTACTATTACCCATATTTTTATAATTTAGCTCGATATCACGTTGTTTGATTTAAATTTTTTGGTGCACCGACTTGCTGAGAATTTTTTTTCTTGTTCAAGTTTGAACACCCTTGAAATATTTTCTAGCTTCGCCACTGAATTCAGTAGTCATGATCCCTCAATTTATATACGTTGCGGCGTGCAACCCGCTCCAACAATATAAACTTAAAATAAAATCCGTTGCGTTGTGCAACCCGATCGAACAATATAATCTTTCAATTAAATTCCGTTGCGGCGTGCAACCCGCTCCAACAATATAAACTTAAAAATAAATATGTTGCGGCGTGCAACCCGATCGAATAATATAATCTTTCAATTAAATTCCGTTGCGGCATGCAACCCGCTCCAATAATATAAACTTAAAAATAAATCCGTTGCAGTGTGCAACCCGCTCCAACAATATAATTAAACAACTCTTAAATGTAAAAATACTCCAATAAATACCATATTTAATAAGAAATTATTAGGCAACAAAGCATACAATTATTATAATTTATTTAGGAAACAAGTAATGACAAGTAGCAATTAGTTGTGGGAATTAAGTATGAAATAGACATTTTAATAATTAGTATGCGAAATGTCAAGTAGCAATTAAGTCACATAAATCAATAAGTATGTAATAATTATAGTATGGATTCAAGACATGATATTGAGCAAGGAATGTGAGATAAACAATTAATATAATAATTAATTCATGATTTAAAATAATTTATATTTTTTTCAAGTAATTATGCAAATAATTAATTTGACGACGTATAGGCACTCATCACCTCGCCTATACGTCATTACACATGAAATTCTCTTAACAAATAATTTAAGGGTTCTATTCCCTCAAATCAAGGTTAACCATGACACTTATCTTGCTTCACGACCAATTTCAAGATTCCAATACACCTTTGCCTCGCGAATTCGTGTCCTAAAGCTTCAAATCTAATCACAAACAATTCAACATACTCAGCATGAATCGTAGGAACTAATTCCATATGAAATTATAATTTTTCCGAATTAAAATCCGAAAATGACAGTGGGACCCACATCTCGAATCCCAAAAAAACTCACCAAATCCGAATACCCATTCCGATACGAGTTCAACCATACAAAAATTATTGAATTCCGACATCGATTGCCTTTCAAATCCTCAATTAAAGTCTTTGAAGATTTCTATCATTTTCAATCCAATCTTTACCCATCTGAACTCAACAATATTCCCACAACCTTATTGGTACAAACATGTATAACTAATACTCTCACTTCCAAGAATCACACTCACAATCACCCATCTTTACCCAAACTCAAAACTGAAGACTAGGGGTTAGAGCCTTACCTCTTCGGTGAAGATTTTGTGATATCTCCTTGTTGGATTTCAAAGCTTGAACAAGATTTCTCTACAAGCTACAGGTTCAAGTTCAAGACAAAGAACGAAGCCAAATCAAATACCAAGGCATTCAAGATCAAATTACTTGTTCGTGATCAAATCCAAATTCATGTTCAAGAAGGAGATTCAAGACCAAGCTTTACAAGCCTTTGAATCGAATCAAAGTCAAGCTCGTTGAAATACTTTACATTCTTGAAGAATCAGAGGGACGTCATAGACATTGTAACACTCAATATTTATTGAAGACAATTACTACATTTATTACGCAATTTTATAGTCTTGATTATTTAGTTTTCTCGATGCGAAAATTTGGTGTTACAATGCCATATGGCAAAATTTGTGACCAATTCAATATCATGATTTGGCTATCTCTCAAAACTTACAAACAATGATTTGGCCATTTGTCAAAACTTACAAACAATTGAAAGAGTGTACTTTTTAATTCTTTCTATTGCATGCTATTTTTCTAAAACTTCAGACAGAAAACAGTGTATTGAAATTATCAGGTAAAATACAAAAATAGTCAGATTTACAAGTGGTAATTGAAAAATAACCACGATATCAAAAGTAATAGAAATTTAGCCACTTTTCGTGTAAAGATAAGTCTGAACAAAAACACTATTTAAAATCCGAAAATATTCAGCATAATATACTAGAGTTCGAATTTTTTACATGTTAACTTCCAGCATGATATACTGGAGTTCTAGCATAATATATTCGAGTTCAAGTATAATTTACTGGAGTTCCAGTATAATATACCTGTCAAGCATATTATGGTGGGAGTTCATACACATGTGCTCTAATCTCCAGTATATTATGCTGGAACTTTCCGTATGGTGGAGTTCTAGCATAATATACTGGAAGTTCATACACATGTGTATCAATCCCCAATATATTATGCTGGAACTTTTCGTGTTGCAGCAAAATAATGACTATTTTTCAATGACTTTGCAAACGTTGGCTATTTTTCAATTATCAGTCCGAAAACTGGTTAGTCCGTGTTGTTTTCACGAAATTATCCTATTTTTGCGAATTTCCATATCCAAACAATGGGTGAAAATGACACCAGGTAACCACTCTAAAGTGTTTTTCTTTAGAAATTAGCAGTATTTCTTGAATTTTGATTTTTCAGTTTAATTTTCAAGAAAAAAATATCCCAGTTGTCCTGAAGTTAAGATTTTTACTTTAAAATTTCAGGACAAAATAAGTATTGACTAATATCTAAATAGCATCTTTGAGAATAACTATCTATGCACTTGCAAAGCGAGTCCACCGCATTCTAGTAGAAATAACACCAGATAGCCACTCTAAAGGGCTGTTATTTAGAAATTAACTAGTCATACTAAATTTCAGTTTTTCAGGACAAAAATATCCTGAATTATTTTTTTTAGTTTAAAATTTCAGGACAACATAAATACCGGCTAATCTCGAAACAATGTTCCTGAGAATGGCTATCTGTGCAGTTGCTCCTGCATCTAGTAGACTGTGGCCCAAGCCCAAAAGAGAAAAAAGAAAAAATTGCTTGCCGGATTCTGCTAGTTTTGACGTTTTTCTGGCTGCGCGGCCTTTTTGTTTTAGTGAATTTTGGGGTTCTTTTTACAATTTTCCAGCATATTTGATCCAACGGTTTTCTCTTCAGGTATTTCCGACACCATTTTTCTGCTTTTTGGTTCATCCCACCATTTATTTATAGTTTCTATACGAAGACTTCTGTATTTGAAGAGCTTTTCAAAGGATAAACTAATGGGTTACGTTTCAGGGCTATAAAGTTATTGTCTTTGTTAGTTATCTGGAATAATGGATGTGGGAGAAACCTCAACTTCACCTCTGCCAGATGCTTTTCTTGATTTTCTGAAACAGAATGGCTTGGATCCTTCTATTTATACTACCAGTGATTCCACACCTCGTTATATAAGGTACTTTTGGCAAAAAATGTCTATTCCATTAGCTCGTTTTCTTTATTAGCATTTTCAAATGTCTGTTTGCTGCAAATTGTTCAATATATAAGTAGCAAAGTAGAAGGTACTCCCTCCATCCCATTTTATGTGATGGCGTTTTACTGGACACAAAATATAAGAAAGAAACAAGGACTTCTGAAACTTATAGTCTAAAACAAGCCATTGATATTTGTGTGACTATAAATCATCTCATTAAGAGTAAAATGGGAAATTTAAAGTTAGTTAAAAACGAAAAAGGAAATTTTGAAAAATTAAAAATGTATCAATCTTTTTGGCACCGAGTGCTGACTAAACAAGGAGAGTGTGCCACATAAAATGAGATAGATGGAGTATCTATTTGGCTTGTTTCCTCCTACTTCTATTCCAGCACGTGTCTTGTTAGTTGCTTTTCAGCTTTCGCTTCCCATGATAATAAGGGGGAATAGAGTGGTAATACTTTGTTTTTTTTCAAATAACCATGGTGTTGGTCAACTTGCACACATTTCGATTAATCGAGTACTTACTACCTCCCACTGGCGTTGCTACCAAATAATTATGTCCATCAAGGTATAGGCAGGCAGGAAATTATCGCCTACCACTTTTTGCAAGTGTTGGGATTTGAACCCTAGTCTCTCCCACGGCTCATTTCAGCTTCATTGGCCGCTAGGCCACACCTAGAGTGGTGATACTCTTGAAGCTTATTCCTTTTTCGAAACAACCGTTTAGCATTGTTACAACTTATAAAACCTGTCATAGTCAACCATAACTGATAAAGTTTATGCTACGTAACATCTAATTTCTAGTTCAGTTAAAAAGTCCTTACTCCTGTTCTGGTACTTATTTGTATGGTTTTTCCATCATTAACTTTAAAGTTTAAACAAGTGGGGTTGCAAATAAGCTATTTGCATATGCTTTCTGATATGTCCACTGGGAGAAATTCGCTGGAATGGTAGAATCATATACATCTAGTTAGCAAAGCCTTACTTGTATGCTGACACTTAGTGGTAGATATGTTTTCTTGTACACAACTTTCAGTGTATAACAAGCTTGCTGAAGGAAACTTTTTTGATGAATGAGTAATATCTTAAGGTGCATCTGATATGGAGGAAAACATTTTGTGTTGGAAATCTTTTTTCCCATAAAAAATGTTTAACCTATTTTCCACCATGTGAACTAATCTTTTTAATCATTTTCCGGTGTTTGGTTGCGTATAAAATTATATGATAATCTACAGGGTGTTGTATAGGACACAATGATAGTGTTTTGGTAATATAAATAGAAGTAGACAATACTGTTTAACTGTTGATTGAAGTAAGTGGAATGATAGTTGGGATATTAGCAAAGGAATTGATTTCTGCCCATAAATAAATGAAGTCATTTTCCTCCTATTGGTGGAAAATATTTTTCTTTGAGAAAACATCTTCCACCAGTTCAAGATAACAAAACATCAGAAAATGCTTTCATTAAGAAAAATATTTCCGTGAGAACATATTCCGCCTTACCTAACACACTCTTAGGATATTGAAGACGTGCTTTACAACAATTGACGCAAGAGATCTGACTTCATAGACATGTTTGCACATTATTTTCT